GCTTAAACCTCCAGACATACTGTCGAGGAAAACAAGTTATAATATGATTCATCCATGGTTCTGATTTCAGTAAGAATTTAAAATATGTAAAATAATACTGTATGAATACTAGCATGCAGTAAAAGTATAAAAACGGAAGAGATGAAAAGGGATGGAGGTTGGGGTATATGCAGAGGAGACCCCCCCCCCGAAAACTGGAATTTATTTATAAAAAATTGTGTATTTATTCTTACATGTTAAACTTCAGTCACCTTCCAAGTACTCTCCGCTTGACGCAATACACCTATCAAGACACTTTTTCTACTGCTCAGTTTTGAGCTGTCAATGTTGATGCTTTTAGTGCTTTTGCTGTTTGTTGTTTCACCTTTTCCACATCAGCAAAACGTTTCCTTTTGAGGATTGTTTTCATCTGGGAAACAAACACACAAAAAAGTGTCCTGGGGTGAGAATGGGTGAATAGGGAGGGTGGGGCATAAGGTCCTTGCCATTTTTAGTCTATAATACTGAGTGACCTCTCACAAAAACAAAAATCCGAATATCACATGTTCTCACTCATATAATGGACCTTGAACATCCAATGCAATACTATGAGAAAATGACGGATGGTACTGGAAAACTATGGGGGGGAGGGGGATGGGATTAACAGTAGCAAATATCTGTCGGGGGATGGGAAACACTTCTTATCTACAGGGTGCCTGAATGAAACGTCATTGTACACCTAACCCTTAACTGTACCCCACAAAACCATAATAAAAAATACTGATTAATGGAAAAAAAAAACTGCTGAACACTCAGCACAATGTAGGAAAGTACACTCGTAAATTAACCTTCGTGAAATGGGCAAACTCATTAAATCTTAAAAAAAAAAAAAAAATCACTGATGCCTAATGCAGCCTCTCACAACAACGCTACCTGCTACACTGATGCTGATGGGTTACAATTACATAATGGGGGAAGCTGAAGCCTGTACTACAAGGGGCCCACCCTCCGAAAGATGATTCCAGATTTTGGGGGGCCCTCCCTCATATATTTTTTAATATGCAAAATTATATTACTTTAAATCTGTTGTTGGTAATGAGTGTCTTTTTGTTCTTTTATGTATATTTCAAGTGAGCTTGTAGAATTCAAGTAAAATACAGGAAAGCATGGTGAGCAAAGGACAACTGGTGATGCAATAATCATTCTGGGAGCCAATGAGGTCCTGGAGTCTGTGTTCTAACCTCATTAGCATGAACAAAGGAATGTTGCCTTTTGAACTCTGAGATATTTGTTTGAAGGAATCTGTTGACTTTTCTGCCACATTAGAAATATGACTTTGGGATTAGGAGACAGATGGTACCTGAGGGTGACTTCTGTTTTTTTCAGAATACTTCTAACCGCTAAAGACAGTCATTAAAAATGCTGCTGTTGTTTTCCTGTGTCACCATAATCCTCACTCAGTCATTGGGTAAGAGAGACCAAGGACTCCGAATGCTTTTTTAGTTAATTTAACTACTAAAGTTGCAGTGGTTCACACCTTTAATCCTAGCACTTTGGGAGACCAAGCTGGGAGCATCTCTTGAGCCCAGGATTTCGAGATTAGCCTAGGCAACATAGTGTGAATTCATTTCTACAAAAAATAAAAGAATTAGCTGGTCATGGTGACATACGCCAGTAGTCCCAGCTACTCGGGAGACTGAGGTGGAAGGATCGCCTGAGCCCTGGAAGTCTACGCTGCAGCGAACTGTGATCATGCCACTGTGCTCCAGCCTGGGTAACAGAATGAGACATCCTGACTCAGAAAAAAAATTTAGAACCAGGGGTACAAGTGAATGTTTGTTACATGGACATACTGTATAGTGGTGGGGACTGGGTCTCAGGTGACCCATTTTCTAGTTAGTGAACATTGTATTCAATAGGTAATTTCTGAACCCTATCCCTCCTCTCCACTTCCCCATCTTACTGGTGTTCCCAGTATCTATTATTTCCATCATGTGACCAGTTAGCTCCGCATATAAGTGAGAACATGCAGTATTTGGCTTTCTGTTTCGTGTTAATTCTCTAAGAATAATGGCTTCCAGCTTCAACTGTGTTGCTGCAAAGGGCATGACTTTATTCTTCTTTATGGCAGTGTAGTACTCCGTGGTATATAAATATGCATTTTCTTTATCTAGTCATTTGTTGGTGGGCACTTAGGTTGGTTCCTTGATCTCACTGTTGTGAATAGTGCTGCAGTGAACAAACAAGTACAGATACCTGTTTTATATAATTATTTCTTTTCTTTGGAATGATCCCTAGTAGTGGAATTACTGGGTTGATTGGTAATTCATTTTTTAGTGATTTGAGAAATCTGCATGTGTTTGAGAAATCAACCTCTACTGTGTTCCGTAGAGGTTGAATGAGTTTGCAATCTCACCCACAGTGAATGCGCAATAGATGGTTAGTGATAGATAATGCTTTCCTGGGGTCTAGTATCTAGGCCTTTAGCGTAGGCTCTGTCACACCCCAGGTGAATCGTGGACTCTCTAAGAAATAGTGACCTTCAGGTGAAAAGGAGGCAGGTGTCTCGTTCGCATGGTCGTGGCTCACAGGAAAGTGCCCACCAGCCAACGAAGCCTGTGGTATAGTGCCTCTTCCCTTCCCTTTCATGGCCTTTCTGGATCTTTCCTTCCAAGGTGCTGCCCTCGATGTAGATTTCCCCCACAGTTCACATGCCCTCGATGTAGATTTCCCCCACAGTGTTAAAACTGGAGGAAATTTACAAAATCATTTCAATCATTTGCAATCTTTTGGAAGAAATGATTTGTACTCAAAACCAATTAAGTGCTTCAAAACCGGTAATCCTAGACCATAGAATTCTCTTAACAGAATTGGTGGCACTCCAGATAGTATTTGTTTTATTTAAATAAACTTTAAACTCTAGAATAGTTTTGTATTTTCACAAAAGTTGGAAAGATAATACAAAATGTTCCCTTTATCTGCATCCAGGTTCCCCTTTTGTTAACATCTTATACTACTATCCAAGCAGTGTTTTTGTTTTGTTTTTGAGATAGGGTCTCACTGAGTCACCCAGGCTGGGCACGATTCTCTGCCTGGACCTCCTGACTCTGCCTCCCTAGTAGCTGGGACTACAGGTGCACGCCACCATGCCAGGCTAATTTTTAAATTTTTTGTAGAGATGAGGTCTCACTTTGTTGCCCAGGCTGGTCTCAAACTCCTGGGCTCAAGCGATCCTCCTGCCTTGGCTTCCCAAAGTGCTGAGATTACAGGCATGAAACACTGTGCTTGGCCCCAGGCAGTGTTTTAAAGACAACAATTTCTACCTTGTTTGGGGATAATGGACATGTTTTATTTATAGATTGATACCTCAGAGATTTTTACTGACATGGAAGTAAATGGCAAAATTAAATGACTTTTTCATTTATAAAGTTACCTGAAAATAAAGACTAATATCTTTGCAAAATAATGGACATCTTTGTAAATTACTAACATATGGCTTGGTGTGTGTAAGGGCTTAAGAAATATTTGTTGGAAGAATGAATAAGTGAATGCTGATGCCCTGTCTCTATTGAGAACCTCAACTTCTTATAATTTTAAGAAAAAGTCAAATAACCCCATATGTAACTTGTCCTGCTTTACCTAGGTTTGAATTCTTCTTTTTTATTTTTATTTTTTTGAGTCAGGGTCTCACTCCATTGCCCAGGCTGGAGTGCAATGGCACAATTGTGGCTCACCGTAGCCTCAAACTTTTAGGCTTAAGTGATCCTTCCACCTCAACCTCCAGAGTACAGCCACTATGCCCAGCTAATTTATTATTTTTTAAAATAAAGATGAGGACTCACTGTGTTGTACAGGCTGATCTTGAACTCCTAGACTCTTCCTGCCTTGGTCTCCCAAAGAACTGGGATTACATCATGCCTGGCATGAATTCTTACTACTGATTGGTTTAAGGCATAATTTATTCTTAATGTCATGAAGTCTTGTTGTTTCCTCCATCTGTTCACTTATCTAAACTACCAATAGATAACAATGAATGCGTATTATTTGCCCTGTTGGCTATCATAGTGAACACTAAGTATAAACTGTAGAATCTTTGTTTTCTCTTTATCTGTTTTCTATCTTTAGGACTATTAGATTATGGCCAGGTGCAGTGGCTTACGCCTATAGTCCCAAAACTCTGGGAGGCCAAATCGGGATGACCATTTGGGCCCAGAAGTTTGAGACTAGCCTGGGCAACATAGCAAGACCTTGTCTCTATTAAAAAAAAAAAAAAAAAAAAAGCCAGACATGGAGGGGCATGCCTGTAATCCTAGCTACTCAGGAAGCTAAGGAGGGAAGATCACTGGAGCCCAGGAGTTAGAGGCTACAGTGAGCTGTGATCATGCCACTGCACTCTAGCCTGGGCAACAGAGCAAGACGCTTATCTCTTAAAAAAAAAAAAAAGGGCGCCGGGCTCAGTGGCTCAGCCTGTAATCCCAGCACTTTGGGAGGCCGAGGCGAGTGGATTGCCTGAGCCCACGGTTTCAAGACCAGCCCAGACAACTTGACGAGACCTCATCTCTATAATAAATCAAAAACTTAGCTGGGCATGATAGCGCGTGCCTGTAGTTCTGGCTACTTGGAAGGCTGAGGCCGAAGGATCGCCAGAACCCAGCAGGTTGAGGCTGTGGTGGCCAAAAGGTATGCCACTGCCCTCTAGCCTGGGTGACAGAGTGAGACTTCACCTCAAAAGAAAAAAAGGGAAAATAAAAATAAATTTTAAAAGGCTGTAGACTGTGCCTCAGTATATAATTGAGCAATGTTAGGTCCTGTACTACTTTGTCAAAAAAGTTTCATCTTGGGGGGAATACCAACATAGGCATTAATTCTTATATGGAAAATCATCTTTGGGAGTATCCAAATATACTTTTTAAGAATCTTTAATTCAAGTGAATAGAAGAAACTGGAATGTTTTTAACAAGAAAAACAATTATTTATTTGGAAAATGAACTGTTCATCAATTAATCTTTTTATATTTGCAGAATTCAGCTCTGGAAACGGTTATGTCAAAACAACTTTCTCTTGATGTTCAAGAAAGCATGAAAAACACTGAAAATGAGCAGAAAGTCAATGAGCTGCAAAATCAACCTTTAGAATTAGATATTATGTTAAGAAATGAACAATTAAAAGAGATAGAGGTATGGAAACATGAAAAACACTGACAACATGATTGCATCATTTATCCAGCACAATACAATATATTTTAATTGCCAAAAACTTGCTTGTACAGAGTGAAAAGTCTTATTTAACCTTTGCCTGATTATCAATTTGGTAACTATATAATTATGTACTAATTAGTAAGTTGTATAAATCTTTCCATTTAAAAAGTAGAAGAGTTTAATGAACATTAATCTTCTTTCTCTTTCACAAAGTTTCTGAAGAGTTATTTAGGAACAAACTTTGGAAATTTTGACTTGTCATTTTTCCTTTTCTTAGCCATATGTATTATTCTGATTCTGATACCCCCCCCCCCCCCCCTTTTTGGTAATGATCAGCATTGTGGGTATCTTTGTTTTTGTAGTTCTGTTTACATGGTTATGTTTATATATTTATGTACTTCTAGCTATGTAATCTAAATATTCCATACATGGCCATGTTTATAAAAGTTTATAAATGATCCCTATGGTTTTAGCTAAGTTTCCATAAGAGTAAACATGTATCTAAAACAGGGAAGAAGGGTGAGAGATATAGATACTGAAAATAAGGTGACTCTTCCTTTAGACATTGCAGAACCCTTTGAGACAATAACATTATCTAATTGCTGTTAAATGTTGGGCCTATGGTGAGTTTTAGTCTAAGTTTTAACATGATTCTTTGGAAAGAAAAACCTTTTCAATATTATGACCTTTATATCTATGTGTGCAAATGAAATATAGTAAGTTCCCTACATATGAACCTTCAAGTTACAAACTTTAATGATGCACATAGGTGTTTTTTATTTATTATTTTCTCCATCAGGTGTCAGTATAGCCTGTTAAATACATACATTACTGTATAGTCAATTGTGTTAGTTGGGTACCTAGGCTGTCTTTGTTGGACTTACAACAAATGGATTTATGAATGTGCTCTTAGAACTGAATCACTTATTTGTGTATTGAGGACTTCCTGTAATTAAAACATCTTCTTGGAATAGAACATGTTATCTGAAGGATAGAGGAAAGAATAGAAGTAAAATGAATTAATAAGTGAATAAGTGAGTATCTATTTACTGATTTGTATAACTTGTTTTTAGGAATTGTATACCCAGTTAGAAGCAAAGAAAACAACCATTGAGCCACTGGAGCAATCAGAATGTCTCAGTGAAACAGAAGCAAGTTCCGTGGTTCTCCACAATGCAGAATATTTGGTGCACCACCTTGACAATCTGCTTCAGACACTTATTACTTTGAAGAAAAATAAAGAAAGCCAATATTGTCTCCTCAATGATTTTCAGGAACACCTCACGGCACTTGAATCCTCCAAAAAAGACTTGTTGACAGACAAGGAAAGTCTAAAAGTGTAAGTGTAAAAGTTTAGGACTTGCATTCTTTTTATTCAGGTACAGTCTCTAATATCTTGAACAGCCCAGGGTTAGTTCATACTTTGGGCCAGACACAGTGGCTCATGCCTATAATCTAAGCACTTAGGGAGACCAAAGCAAGAAGATTGCTTGAGTCCAGAAGTTTGAGACAAACCTGGACAACATAGCGAGACCTCAATCTATAAAAAGTCCAAAAGTTAGCTGGGCATGGTGGCTTGTGCCTGTAGTCCCAGCTATTCATGAGGCGGAGGTGGAAGGATTGCCTGAGCTTGGGAAGTTGAGGCTGCAGTGAGCTGTGATGGCACTCCAGCCTGGGCAACAGAGTGAGACCTCAACTCAAAAAAGAAAAAAATGAAAGTTTATACAATAAAAGGATATTATGATTTTAAAACTACAGTATGGAAATCAATTCTATATGGAAGTTGTCTTTGTTTGAGCTGCTGTAACAGAATACTGTAGACTGAGTGGCTTATAAAAAAAAAATTTATTTCTTACAGTTCTGGAGGTTGGGAAGCCCAAAAAGATTCGGTGCTTGGAGACGGCTCTCACTTTAGAGGTGGCACCTCCTAGCTTGTACTCACAAAGTGGCAGGGGTAATGCAACTCTCTGGGGTCTCTTTTATAAGAGCTCAAATCCCAATTCATAGGGGCTCCACCCTCATGATCTAATCACTGCTTCAAAGGTCCTAACTCCTGGTACCATTGCATTGGTGATTCAGTTTCAAAATATGAATATGGAGTGACACAAATGTAGCAGAAGCCACTTAAGGAAACTCTGTTAGTTTCATGCAAAAAATGTTTTATTTGATTATGTTTTACAAAGTAATTTATTAAATAATTCACACTATAAATATCTGCAAAATAGATTCAAGTTCTATGGAATTCTGTATTGTTTTGTCAGTAATGTATTCTAAACTCAGGGAGCAGGAAAGAGCAACATGTATAAAATTGTTTGGTATCAGCATAATTGGTTTGGATAGTTTGTACCTACTGAATACATATGTACTATCATGGTTTATCTTAAAATATGTTCACTCCTTTTGGCTTTGAAAATGATGGCAGGCTGGGTATGGTGGCTCAGCCTGTAATTCCAGCACTTTGGGATGCCGAGGTGAGATGATTGCTTGAGCCTGGGGGTTCGAATCCAGCCTGGGCAACTTGGTGAGACTTCGTTTCTATAACAAATCACAAAAACTAGCTGCATGTGGTGGCATGTGTCCATATTTTCAGCTACTTGGAAGGCTGAGGTGGAAGGATCACCTAAGCCCAACAGGTCAAGGCTGCGGTGGCCCTGAGCATGGCAGTGCACTCCAGCTTGGGCGATAAGTATACTCCAACTCAAAAAAAACAAACAGAGAAAAAAGAAAATGATGGCAAATGGTGGTATAGTCTTGGTATATGATTTCTTTTCATTATTAAAAACATTTGTTTTATACCTATACCTAAATGGGTTTACTTTCATTAATATCCCTTGAGGAAACGATTTTTTTTTTTTGAGTCAAGGTCTTACTCTGTTGGCTTGAGTGCAGTGGCACGATCATGGCTTACCACAGCCTCAACCTCCTGGGCTCAGGTGATCCTTCTCCTCAGCCTCCTGAGTAACTGGGACTACAGGTGCATGCCACCATGTCTGGCTAATTTTCTGATTTTTTTGTAAAGACGAGGTCTCACTGTGTTGGTCAGGCTGATCTTGAATTCCTGGGCTTAAGCAATCCTCTTGACTCAGCCTCCTAAAGTACTGGGATTATGGGCATGAGCCACTGCGTCTAGCCTAACAATTTTATATTTAAAAGATTTAGCTTGGTGATTACAACATTTTAGTCAATATTGTTATTGTTGGACAGAGGATAACAAAGAGATTGGATATTATGGTAATTTCTCTGAGTCCTAGACTAACCTTTGCCCAAGGACTTTACAGTTTATAAAATGTTTTTTAATATGTTGGTCCCATCACTCTTCACTTTTTTCCAGTGGTGGTTCTTTTTTTTTTTTTTGAGTTGGAGTCTCACTCTTCATCCAGACTGGAGTGCAGTGGCACTCTCCCAGCCACCGCAGCCTCGACCTCCTGGCTCCAGCGATCCTTCCACCTCAACCTTCCAAGTAGCCGGAACTACAGGCATGCGCTACCACGCCCAGCTAATTTTTTGATTTATTCTAGAGATGAGGTCTTGCCAACATGCCTGGGTGGGTCTTGAACCTGTGGGCTCAGGGAATTCACTCGCCTCGGCCTCTCAAAGTGCTGGGATTATAGGCTGAGCCACTGAGCCCAGCCAGTTCTTCATTTTTTGATATTCATTGTATAGATATGTTCTTTATCCTAATTGAAAGTCACAATAAATGAGATTCCAGGTTTTTATTTTAAGGATAGAATACTTTTACAAACTTTCTGTGAATTCATTGCAGAATTAATTTCTTTTAGTGACATCTAGCCACCTATTAATGTATAATAAACATTAAATGTTAACAAGCTCTATTTTTATTTCTCTAGGGGACCACTGGACAGTGTCACATATCTGGACAATATTAAAAAATTCCTAGCATCCATAGAAAAAGATAAAGGTTCTTTAAGCCATCTGAAAGTCCAGTGGGAGAATTTATCAAGCCATGTGACTGACATGGATAAGAAGTTGGTGGAAAGCCAGATTAAGCAACTGGAACATGGTTGGGAACAGGTGGAGCAGCTGCTTCAAAAGAAGTATTCTCAGCAGGTGTTGGAGTATGGTGAATTTACATCCCTCATGAATAAGATACAAGACACTGAGGTTTCTTTGCAGCAACAGCAGCAACGTCTGCAGTTAAGGCTCAACTCTCCAGAAGAACAGGAGGGGAACCAAAGCATGATTGCCTTGGCCACTGACCTTCAGGCTATGAAGTATGGCTTTTGTCTTTTAAAAGGGCAAGCTGAACTTCAGATGAAGAGGATTTGGGGAGAAAAAGAAAAGAAGATTTTGGAGGATGCTATAAATAATTTGAAGAAGCAGTTGGAAGCACTGCAGCCATTATATCTTGAGGTGGAAAATTGGATTAAGAAGTGTGACATGAGGAACAAGGTGAAGGAGACAGTCTCATGGATCAAGAATCTATTAGGTGAACTCAGTTCCCCCATTTCCCTTTTCCCAGAAGAAATTCTTTCACAGATCCGGAAATGCAAGGTGAGGCATGATGGCATTCTGGGTAGGCAGCAAGCTGTGGAATCACTGGTTGAAGAGGTCAAAAATAATATTCCTAGCCTCACAGACTATGAGGGTGATGATTTAAATAGTCTCCTCGAGGACTTACAGAAGCAATACCAAATGCTGGTTTTAAAATCAACTGAAAGATCACAGCAATTAGAATTTAAATTGGAAGAAAGAAGCAAATTTTTTACAGTGATAAAGAAGTTTCAGCTTACACTTCAAGGAAATGAAACACTGATAATTCCCAAGGTGGAAGCAATCTCTACAGAAACTGAACTGGAAAATCATCATGCCACTTTGACGGCATCTCAGAAGGAACTGGGAGAAATTGCAAGTGTGATCACAACACATCTTCAGGAACTAGCAAATATCTGTGAGGATCTAAATGTGTTTGAAAGGTTATTTCTGGATGATCAATTTAAAAATCTTAAGACTAGAGCCAACAGAACACAAAGATTCATTCAGAATAAATGTAATGAAGTAGAACACAAGATAAGTTTATACAAAGAATTTCATGAAAAAACATCTGTGCTTCAGAACGAGGTTGAAGGTATACCACACAATGAACTACTGAATCAAGAAATAAATCAAGATATGAAAAAGGAGCTCTGTAATCTTAAAAACAGACTCACTGGCATTCAGTGTAGCGTCATTCAAGTCTTGAAATTTAAAAAAGTGTTTGACTATTTAGGACTAAAATGGGATTGTTCACAACTTGACCAATTACAGACCCAACTACTTGAAAAAGAAAAGGAACTTGAAGAAAGAATTAAGCAGTTGGACACATTTGAGGTGGAACTTGGCAAATATAGAGCATCACTAAGTAAAATGAAGGCTATGGATTTGCAAATTAAGAAAAGGACTGAAGCAGTTCGAAAAACACCTCATACCTCACCAGAAAGCAGTCTGCTCAGTGCTCAAATCTTGAGTCAGAGAATTGAGAAAGCCAAGCATTTATATGATGAGATAATAAAGAAACTAAATGAAAATAAGGCCTTTGATGACTCATTCAAAGAGAAAGAAATACTGCAAATAAAACTGAACACAGAAGAAAATGAGGCGTTACATGAGGTTCTCCAAAGCATGATACTAGAATTCCAACCAAAAGAAATGGATGAAAAGAATTTTCAGAACAAATTAGAAAATTCTTTACATGTTTTAAATCAGATAAACTCTCAATTACAGCAGCCTTTACTTATAAATTTGGAAATTGAACATATTCAGAATGAAAAGGACAATTGTGAAGCAATTCAGGAACAAGTTCAGGCAGAAATGTACAGTATTAAAGCTGTGACTGTTACTGAGATGCAAAGCAAAGAAAACTCTCCTGAAACTAGTGATGTGGAGACAAAATTACACGACATTGAAGCTCTTCAAATGCAGCTTAGCACAAGCATTGATTTACGTACCGTAAGTTTTATTTTTTATAATTAGGCAGTACATTTTTATTTCATGAGTTTGTTTTGCTGGTTAATATCTGTACTTCTAAAGAAGTGACAGTCTCCACAGAAAAATTTTCTACAGATTGATAGTGGTTTTTAAAAATTGCAAAGAGCTAGTTTATGGTCCTGACTCATTCTACATCTAAATTGGCCTTAAAGTTTGGCAAAGAACAAATCTGACACCTTTATTTCTATTTTTCTTGTAGCCTCTACTGAGCTCAAAACAAAGTTGTTGTTGTTGTTATTGTTTTCCAGAGATAATAAGATATAATAGAAGAACCATCTTAGCATCCTTGGAATTCACACTGTGTTGAATAGAATGCCTCACGTAGTGTTTTCAGATTTGTCACATTAAATTTATAGAATGGGGGAAATTAACTCCCCTCTCATTCAAAGAGTTATTATTAGATAACACATTTGAAGTATTTTGCTAGGTATCAGTGTTATAGAAATGTAAAGTGGTATTCTGAACTCTAATATATCCCTTTAAATAGTTTTGTAACAAATACCTGATTTGTGTGCTTCACTGCTTGGCTTTAAGTTTCAAGAAACAATGTTTTTAAATTCCATAAATAAAAGAGCTGGACTGGAAGGGACCTTTTAAGTCATTTATTGCTGGGCTCAGTGGCTCAGCCTGTAATTCCATGCCTTGGGAGGCCGAGGTGAGTGAATTGCCTGAGGTTCAAGACCCACCTACGCAGCTTGGTGAGACCTCATCTCTACAATAAGTCAAAAATTAGCTGGGCGTGGTAGCACGCGTCTGTAATTCCAGCTACTTGGAAGGCTGAGGCAGGAGGATCTCCAGAGCCCAGGAGGTCGAGACTGCGGTGGCCGGGAGCGGCCACTGCACTCCAGTCTGGGCGAGAGTCAGATTCCAACTCTAA